TCTTTGTCTAAAACATCAGCACTATCTTGAAATTCCCCATCATATATTCTGTTATTGGACATCTTATTTTCCTCCTTTGCTATATAAATACTTTTAAATTGTTACTAACTTTAACACTCGTTTTCCTCTATACATTATGTATGTATTAGCTCTTCTCACTTTTTTCCTTAACTAAGAAGGAAAAATCTGATCCAAAACATCCCGCATGTTCAAAAAAGTGCCAAAATTAGGAAAGAATGGGTTAGCCTTTCAGGGTGAAATCTAGAGATTAGCAAGATTAAATAATTGAGTAACTCTCAATTATTTTCTATAGCAAGCATTTATAAAGGTGCCCATCACCATGGTATCCTTGTTAGTACTGAACCACTTTATCTGGATTTAGTTTGAATTTAAAGGTGTTTGCTTTATTTATACGTTTTATGTTCTGCAGTGCCCTGACTATCTGGAGATTGGGGAGATGTGTTAGACAATTACACCAAGCTTTTCCGGTTTTTGTCTGAATTTCTCTTGGAAGGAAGAGGAATGAATGTTCATAAATGATCACTTGTAATAAAATACGTGTCTGCTTTTCGCAGGGATGATTTTAAAAACCCAGAACAAAGATTCATTGGAAGATGCTGTTTCCACCTCTCTGGATCCGAGTAAGCGGGAAGCCTGTGTAGGTGAGGGATGGAGTGTGTGCACATAGAGAGGCTCCAGGGTTGGTGAGCAAAGACTTGGGAATCCAGTGAGGCCTGATCTATGCATTAAAAAATTAGACTAGTTGTGGCTGTGTTGCTAAGGGCTATGAAAAATTTCATATCTGAGTGCCATAGTTAGGATGATGGAAGAAATCTTGTGTTATGTTAACTGCCACCTCTCAGAGTGTTCCATCTATGTACATAATCTAATCTCTTCTGTTGATGCAATATTAAACTACAGCACTGCAGCTGTAGGTTAGTTATGGCCTGAGTATATGGAAGCAGTGAGGGTTACATTCTGCTTTCCTGTGATTGTCAGTGGCTCTCCATTGAGCCCTAATATATTGTGGCTTTACTTGTTCCTGCCTAAGAATTCATTCTATCAGCGTCATCATTTCTTGAATTCATTCTCTGCACATAATTTTTACATCAAGTGCTGAAGAGGCTGCTGGACTCTTCTAATCTGCCTCTGAACCTTAAAGGTTCTGTGTGGTGCCACCAGGACAATCTAATGAAAACAGAAGGAAGGCAACAGTTTATGTACAAGATACATACATGCCTCCATCTCTTACAAGAGCGAGGGCATGGCTCTGCTTCAGAGAACATTTTGTGCAGCTGTCTGTCATTGTTGCACGGAACTGACACAAATTTCCCCCTTGTTAATGTTAAAATGTTCACGGTAAAATGAAACAACTTTATCCGTGAGATCTCTGCAACAATGATTTGTTTAACTGCAGTCACCCAGAGCTTGTAGGGCAAGTTCACTCAGGTACCCCCTTGACAGTTGGCTGACAGTAGATTGTTTGATGTTGAATTATCTGTGTGTTGAGATCGCTAGACTCTTACACTAATAGCCTAAATTTAGGAGGGAGGGGGTAAAGCAGATTACAAGATACTATTTTTTCCCCTTTGTTCCCATTCTTCTGGCTGTCTTCTATTTTTATAACTGTAGAAATGTTCTCTTTTTGGCTGTTGTATGCTACCTATCCCAGAAACAGGCTTTCATTCTTTCCCTCTCCAACCTCTCCTCTACAATCAACTAGGAGGAGGAGCTGGTCTGATTTGCTTGTCCAGACTTGGAATGTTGATTTTTTTTCTTTATATGTTTAATAATATGAAATTGCACCTGATCTGCAGTAACCTCAGCAGCACAGCAACTATATTTCAGCTCTAGCTTACAATCAACAGATAATTTTAAGGTATTAACTTTGAATCCCATTTGCATGATGGGATTGAATTAGCATGTGCACTGCATTGTTTAACAAACTGTCTTTCTCTCCCTCCCCTTTTTCTCTCTTACTTGCCTTCCTTCCCTCCCCATCCACCCCCTCCCTGGTGACTTTCATATCTTTCACATATTTATTTTACTTTCTTCTCTTCACACATCCTCCTTCTCCCTCCCTGCCCTTAATTTTTCATGTGTGTCCGCACATGCCCCCATTTTCTTCTCCCCATGATGCAACGAGGCAGTTCTGACACTGTCTGCTCCCCCCGTAGTGCCAGGCTTCTGTTGTACAGTTGGGGTGGACTGGAAATCTCTCACTACTCCCGCATGCCTTCCACTGACCACGGACTACTTCCCAGACCGCCAGAGCTTGCAAAATGACTACACTGAGGGCTGCTATGATCTGCTCCCAGAAGCTGACATTGACAGGTTTGTGCCAACACTTCCTCCAGTACAATCTCTTGCACTGAACCAAGAGATTCCAGGTAATCCCAAGCAGGGATAATGTGGTAGAATATGAACATGGAGGGACTTTCATATGGTAGTGAGAATAGAGTTGCCAAGGTGGTTAGCAGTGGAATACGTAGACTTTCTTTGTAGATTGCAGCTTTGCACCTTTCCAACTGGTAATATCGATCGGTTTTGCCTCCATGTTAAGTTTTGAAATTTAGTTTGGGGACAAAACTTGGCAGGGCTGTTCATTTTAAAAGACTTTCCTCCCCTCCTCTCCATAATTTTTGTGATAAATGCCCTGATATCCTGAATATCTATTTTATTTTATTTTTAAATTAACTACTCTGCCATATTTCCAGAGATGCTTTGTTGGGAGAAATTTGGAAGGAAAATCTCCTTGGTGTGATAAACCAAAAGACACTCTGCAATTCTCTTGCAGCTGTGCAGTAGCTACCCGATAACAGGGTCACTCTTCCCAAAACCATGCATCTTCCTTTTAGCATCACTGAAACTTCCCACATACTGTGAAGCTTCAGAACAGAGCTATGATGGCTAATTTCCTATTAGGGAAGACGGAGACAATTCACCAATGAGATATTGAAAACTTACACATGTAGGTATAATAAATGGCAGTACTGAAGTAAATCTGCTTGGAGATATGGCTGGGGATGAAGAGAAGAAGCAGGGGATAAGGCTGTTGGCTGTAGCACAGCACTTGGCATGAGGGCATCTGGGTTTTATTCTCTGGGCTTTGATAGCAAGTGACAATGATGAACCAATCTTTGATTGGCTTCGTACCTTAAATTGCTTTTTTCTGAGGTAGGAAAATGTTATCCCCATTTTAAAGGTGTTTGAGTTTTAATTCCTATTGATAAGCTGCTTTGAGACTCTGACAAGCCCAACAGAACAATGTTTCTCAATCAGTGGTACGAGTACCATTAGGGGTACTCGAGAGAAGTCTGGGGGGTACGTCAACACAACTGAAATTTGGGGAAAACTGAATTTTTGTTGTAAGTTTTACGGCGCTTTATTATTTGTCCTTTTTTATACCCCAAAATTTCATCATCAGAAGTGAAGCACAGAGAAGAAATGGGAAATAATTTTGTCATCATCAGCCCATCGGTTACATGCACAACACTTCCTGCACTATGTCTACTGCTGATATTAAGGGGCTATGATTAAGTTGTTTAAACAAATGTGTTGCAATGCTAGAAAAAAATTGTCTCTCTCTGAAAACTGTAGGTACTAGGGGTACTTCTAATTTTGTTTAAGGGGTACTTTTTTTTAAAGGGGTACTTTTATTTAAAAAAAAAAAGTTGAGAAACACTGCTATAGAAGTGTGTATCATTATGAGTATATTTGCTAAATAGTACGAGTGCTGAAAAATACCACTGTCCAAAGTTTAGCTGCTGCTGTTTGTAAATTAATCTTGATGGTCAGACTGACTCTTATTCTAAGTATTTATAAAATGACTAACTTGTTCTTTTTAGGTGGTTTGGTAATAGCCACCCCCCCGCGCACTGTTGCTAGAAATGATAGAAATGCAGATGTCTTTCATCCTGATCTTGCAAGGCACTAGGCTCCACCTGCACAGATTCTGTTGCAGGAACGAGGCCTCACTTGGGAAAATTGGAAATGAGCAAGTGTGTGGTCAGTCTCTTATGCTGTTTGGTCTTGTGATTAACCTCTGGTGCTCAGGAGAGACGAGGAAGGTGTGCAGATGACAGCCCAACAAGTGTTTGAGGAGTTCATTTGTCAGCGTCTCATGCAAGGATATCAAATCATTGTGCATCCCAAACCACAGAAACCATCTACCGCTGTACCGCCCCCTCTTAGCAGCAGCCCCCTGTACAGTCGAGGTGAGTGTCGCTCACTCTGTAGCCCCTTTTCTCCACAATACATCCTGTCCTGTTTTTCCTTCACTCCCGTCCCCGTTCCCCCAACAGCTTTCGCAGTCCTCTGTCCAGTCCAGAGTGGGCAGCGTTAGCCAGAACTTTGCCTTAAAACCACGGTTCAGCTCATGCAGTTTAATGCCCAGTGTAGATGGGCTCAATATTATGTGAGGGTCATGTGGTCTCCTTTCCCATTTTGGCATCACAGTCTAAGTACAGGGTTTGTTTTGCAATATCTGTTGATGTCTTTTGGACAAAGTTGAAGTGAGGGGAAGCTTGAAGGAGGGGAATGTGTAAGGCTAGGAACTAGAACTATTACCCTTCATAGGATGGGAAGCAGAGGTGAGACTCACTTGGAAGGGATTAGCTCTAGGAGTGAAGCACAGAGAAGGATGGGAAAGGATGACAAAATTATCAGCCCGTTGGTTACATGCCCAACACTTCCAGTAGCATGTCTTCCTCAAAGAAACGGTATTAAAGTTGTCTCTGAGTTTCTAAGTCATGTTTGGAAGCTTGTTCATGAAATGTTATTGTATTAGTGTAGCTTGTGCAATAAAGCTGTGACTGCTATATTAGGTACACAGAAAGATGTTCTCTTAATATGTTACCTTTAGGCCTTGTGTCACGAAACCTACCTGAGGAGGAAGATCAGTACTGGCTAAGCATGGGCCGCACCTTCCACAAAGTCACCTTAAAAGACAAAATAATTACTGTCACTCGATACCTGCCAAAGTGAGTATCTCTCCAATCAAGTAAGATCTCCAGCAGACTTGCTTTCTCTCCTCTTGCCTGTACTTGCGTTCCGTGCCTTGTAGTACGAGGAAGAGATGCCGTTGATCATGCCAGGAATGGTGAGCCTTGCTTTGTCTTTGACAGATATCCATACGAATCTGCTCAGATAAACTATACCTACAGCTTGTGCCCTTCGCACTCTGACTCTGAATTTGTCTCCTGCTGGGTTGAGTTCTCCCACGAGCGTCTGGAAGAGTACAAGTGGAATTACCTAGACCAGTATATCTGCTCTGCTGGCTCTGAAGATTTCAGGTGAGAGATCTCATTTTCCACCGTAATTGCTCTTTGTCCTATTTTTTTTTCCTTTTGACCTACAACTGAACCAAAATTTTTCTCTGTAAAGAGTAGCGCTAGTGACAAGGTTCTTGAGGGAGTGTTTGACCTGCTTTCAGTGATATGCTAATATCAGCTCTGTAACCCTCATTTGAATTTTGCATAGCACCATTTTTCCATTGCCTGGTTTGTGGTGCAAAGTCTCACTCTTAATGGTATTTGTGTTCTGTTTCTTACCCTCCCCCATCCCCTGTGCATGCAAAGAATTATGAGGATGTTTTGCCACCCTTGGGTGGTTTCTCTGACTTTCTCATTCATTTCTGGATATAATTTAAAATGTTCCTCCTTTAAATGTTCCTTCTTTGCTCAAGTCACAGACTTTACTTGATTCTACTCCCTCCCCTCTGCCTATTTCAGACTGGCCTTCTTTTTGTCCCTTTCTGAGTATCCCCAGAGGCAATGAGTCCCTTTTCCTCTATCCTCTGTCAAATGAGCCAGCCTCCTGGTATCTTTCCATTTCATTGGAGACCTGAAATCCTCTGTGCCTTAGCCTGTATCTCTCAAACTTCTTTTCCTTTGCTTTTTGCTGTAAAACCTTCTTACAGCTAGGGAGGTAAATGGGTAATGGTTACCTGGGTGCAGCCCTCTGCCCATGGTCCACTGTGGACAGAGGGCTGCTTCAGCCCCTCGCTGGCTCCCAGCTGGTGTGAGCTGGGAGTTGGCAGCTTCACATGAAGGGAAGGGCTGCTGGCTCCCAGGCTATGTGAGCTCCCAGGCTGGGAGGCTACAGGCTTGCACTGGATGGAAGTGGCAGCATGGTGGGGAGTGGAGGCTGCTGGCTTCTAGCTTCCCTGGCAGCCCTTTTCCCCCATCTTCCCTACCACTTCCGTACCACCCCTCCCCTAGTGAGGCCACCAGCTTCCCGCTGGCCCCCATTTAATCAGTTAACCATTTAAACTTATATAAGAACTTAACATTTAACCAATTAAATGGGATTTTACATCCCTAGTTACAACATTGCCTAATGGATTACATTCAAAGTAAAGGTCGACAAGACATGATCAACCTGGAAATTAGTTTTTTCTGAACTGTTTCAATGTGCTAGTTGGTAAAATACCTCCCCTGACATTCGTCCGCTGACTGCCCCTTCTCATGTAGATCATTGGATGCTTAATGGCAGAACCATGAGATCCATTCAAACCATGGATGCAATCGAGTATTAACTCCATTAATACACAACTCGTTTGCAGCTGTGACAAATGCTATACCCTGTCTGTCTTCTCTCCACCATTTCTCCAGCCTTATTGAGTCACTGAAATTCTGGAGGACCCGTTTTCTGCTGCTCCCAGCATGTATCAGTGCCACAAAACGCATTACGGAAGGCGAAGCCCACTGTGATGTGTATGGAGACAAGCCTCGCTCTGACGAAGAGGAATGGCAGCTCCTGGATGGCTTCATCCGCTTTGTGGAGGGTTTGAATCGCATTCGTCGGCGCCATCGGTCAGACCGGATGATCAGGGTGAGTCAGTGTTGTAACTAAAACTTCGTAGAGTATGAGGCTGAATTTCTGAAGCACTTCTACCCCTATAGCGAGTTTCTCCATTGTGTAAGCATCACTGTGCTATTGCTATTGGCGGCGGTGCTTTCTGCGCAGAGACAGTCTGCTGCTGAAGGAAGACGTAAGTTGGGAACCACCATCCACTGAAGGACTCTTGCATTGTTTTGTCCTGTGGCAAGGGTGGATATGGGGGCACTGTGCACCCTGCGTCTAAGGGAATGGTGCTCAAAAGATCCCAGTTCTCCATGGAATGGAACAGTTTACTTTTCCTAACTGCGCAGGCTGTGTACTACACTCAACAGCTTGAGCAGAGGAAATCACACTGGTTGGTGGATCCATTGTCTGTAATTGTAATGTGGTGACTCTCAACACTATTAACTGTTGCAGAGCTACTCAGCTTTGGAAGCCCTGGAGCCACAACGATACTCGCAGCACATGCCAAGGGCTGCAACTTAATTGTGGTTGCATATAGCTTTTCACACTGCCGGGTGTCAATACAAAGATTAGAGCAAGACTACACAGCATGCAGGCCCCATTTATGTCAGGTCTGCAGATATTAATAAAATGCAATAGTTACCCAATTTCCACCCATCTGACAGCACTCTGAATGAGCAACAACAGTCCAGGAATTTAACTACAAAAATGCATATCAACAGAAGACCATTATATTGACTACTTTTTTTTGTTCTGGCTCCCATCCACAGGCCACATGTTGAGTCCCATGTAAACCCAAACTGCACCGCGAGCTGCAAACAAACAGGGCACAGGCCACGTGCGGCCATGTTGAGTAGCCCTCAACTGTTGTATACAAATGTATGAAATTCACCCAAAGAGCCCTGGCCTGCTTAGGGTAGGGAGCCTAATGTATAAGTGAAGGAGGCTGGGGGATCTAGTTATTTTTCCCATCTGAGGTTTTGTCTGCAAGGGAGAAATTGACCTGCAAACCTGTTTCAAAATAACTCACCTGTGTGGAGATACTGTTCTGGAATAAATTCTGAAATAATTACTCCATTTTGTGCGCACAGTAGTTCTTCCAGAACAAAGTCACTTTTGTTTTGGAAAAGTGTCCCAAAGGGAAGCTCTTCTCGAATGGCTATTTCAGTCAGTGTCCCCATGTAGAGATGTCCTCGCTCTACTTGTTAGGTGCTGTCTCTAAAGTATTACCACTGATTATAAGGTGTGACTTTATTGTTATTCTGCTGAGCCTTGGAGGCCTTGACTCCTATTGTCCTCTCCTGTTTTGTTTTTCCTAGAAAGGGGCTGCTATGAAAGGCTTGCAGATGTCTGGCCCAATCTCTGCTCACTCTCTGGAGCCTTCTGGGCCTCCTGTTGGGAAGAAGGGAACCTCAGCCCTCTCAGCCCTGTTGGAAATGGAAGCCAGTCAGAAGTGAGTCTGAACACTCAACTTAATACACGCTCTTATCACAGAGCCCCTATCTGGCCTGGGCTCATGGCATTGGGGAATTAATCATCAAACATAGGGAGCCCCTCAGATTTTGCTCCCTGAGAAGTGACAATGGTGAGGAAATGCCACGCTTTTCAGTGGGATGGGCATGGTTATGTCTATACAGATGCCAGGGTAGGGGAGAGGTAAGATTCTATTAGTAACCCTCAAAGAGATCATCACCGTGGCATCTTAGTGCCTGACACATGAGATGTGTTTGTGCCCCTTGATAGGGGCAGCAATACTGGCTCTGCCCCAAACGAATTCCCTATCCATTGGGAGAAAAATGAGGGAAGTGGGTTGGAGGGGTAAGAAGTGGCTAAAAAGTCTGTGCTGCACTAGCAGTTCAGAGGGAAGGAACTCCATGGTGGGGATCCTTCGATCCAGCTGGCAGGATAGAACACCTAACTCTGCTTTTCATAGAATTGTTCATAAAGCGTTTGGGGGATGCGCTTTGTAGAGTCCAGTAATATAGTGTTAACATCCCTGAGTTAGAACACCAGCAGGTCTCAACTACACTCCCAAAAGGCGTCCATATTTAGCAGTTCAGAGGGAAGGAACTCCATGGTGGGGATCCTTCGATCCAGCTGGCAGGATAGAACACCTAACTCTGCTTTTCATAGAATTGTTCATAAAGCGTTTGGGGGATGCGCTTTGTAGAGTCCAGTAATATAGTGTTAACATCCCTGAGTTAGAACACCAGCAGGTCTCAACTACACTCCCAAAAGGCGTCCATATTCAGGCTTGCTTATGTCCCTAGTGAGAGCGTAACTCAAGGATGTTTCCTTTCCATTTCTGTTCTGAGAGCATCAGACATCATATGGGAATGTGTGTGATGTGTTAAGGAAAAGCCAGTAGGAAGGCTGTGCCAGTCTCAGTGCAAACAAAACTATTTCCAGACCCTTGCTGAGGACACCCTGCTCCCAGTCTGGTTGTACTCATCGACAACTGACAGACGTAGCTCCTCGGATGTAGTGTGTGGGAGAGAAGCCGTCTGTAAGCAAGCCAGATCCCAAAGCGTAGTGATTTTTATGGATTAAAACTCAGATCTCTAATGACACAATGAGTTTTTTATTTCGACTCTCCTAATTAATACTAATAGATTAATGGGTATACTTAAAATATTCAAAATGTTTTCATTATGAACTGAAACACCTTCAGAAGAGATGTCAGGAAAGTTACTGCAACACAGGAAGAGAGGGATTTGCCAGTGTTCTTCCAAATTCCACTCTGGTGATCAACACTAGTTCATAGGTGCTGACTTCCGCTTTAGCTGGGATGTGCTCAACCCTCTCCTCCATCTGTCCTGGATCCTGTCCCCATTTCACCCCTTCCCTCCAGCATTCACCCTGACTCTTTCTGCCCTGCTCCTATTCCGCCTCTTCCCCCAAGCCTCTTCCCCTTCTCCTCCCCACCCTTCTTCCTGAAGTGCCAGGTTGTTAGCAGGCAGGAGATGCTGGGAGGGGGGAGGAGGAGTTGTTCCTTGGGGTCACAGGCAAGTGAGAGGCACTGGTGGGTAGGGGAGTGAGAGGATGCTTGACTGCTGGTGGGTCATAATTCCCTTCCCCTCATTGGTGCTCTATCCCTGGAGCACCCACAGAGTCTGTACCTTTGCTAGAGTCTGTTCTACTCTTAGTGCTGTGGGTGGATTTGAGAGTAAGTCCCATTATTGCAGACATTCTAACTCCTTGTTAACACCTACTCCTGCTAATCTGTTTTATGCACACACTGGCATGCACCTTTCCCCAGGAGGAAAGAATTGATTGAAGTCCTTGACGAGGAGACACCAGCGGGGAGAGGAGTTTTGCAAAACGATTTTTGAAGTCATAGGTCATACAGCATAGGATAGACTGCTGGTTAACTGTTTATGAATGTTAGCTTTATGAGCTACCTTCCCTGTTTATTGGACCAGCTTTAGTGTGTTGCATTTTCTAATGCCAGAATTGTAGCTACACCAATGCAAACCTTCTAGAATAGACAGCTTGTGCTGGTACAGTGCATTTTTCATTGGTACAGCTTAGTAAGTGAGCGATCCTGTTTTAAATCATGCCTGCATTTAAGATTTGAGGGACAGCCTCAAACCTCCCACTTACCCTCTTTCCTCTGTTTTTTGTGTTGGGTTTAGCAATACATTGTGGGGTGGGGGTTTATTTTATGTGAACAACAGTGAATCTTTTCTTGTATCAGAAAAATGTGTGCATCAGTTCATACAGGTTCTGTTGTGACTGAATGTCCATATTTGAGATTCATCAGCTCAGACAGAAATCATCTATAGCAGGGGTCAGCAGCCTTTTTAAACCAAAGAGCCAAACAACATCAAAATTCCTAATAAGTGGAAAACAGAGCCAGTATCAGAATGCCCATTTGCATGACTGAAAATAGACAACTTAAGCATCATGCCAATTATTAATAATATTAATAATCGCATGAATGAAACTTTGTACTCATAGACTTCTGCTGCTGCTGGAGGTGCCGTTTGTGGATGTGGGGGTGCAGGAGTGAGGGTTGGGATGTGAGGGGCTCAGGGCAGGAGGTTGGAAAGGGCAGGAGGCAGGGCACCGCACTGGGGTGGGAAAGAG